ATCTCCAACACCACTCTCACCAGCAAGCAGTGTGTTGAAAACTAAATCCGTTGCTCACTCCTAATCCAGGACCTCCCCTCAAACCCACCTTTCTCAGATCTTGCACGATGGTCCAGGATGGCAATGGCCACGCGGACTTGGATCATCATGCCCTGGAAACTCAAGATGGAAGGAGCCTGAATGTGGCTCGGGAGACTGACCATCCTCCCTCCATCTTGGCTCCTCCACTTCCTGCTACCACAACCTCCTCTTCCACCCTGAATGGACCTCCAGACTCCACCCCCATGAATGTGGGTCACGCCCCCACTTTCAATCTTTCCACCTTCACCTTGGGCCATGCCTCTAGAAGGCCACACCAGAAGTCCGCCATCCTAGATCAAGGCCCTTCCTTCCCAACACCTGACAAAATGGCAGTGCCCTTTGCATCACCCTCCGGCAACAATATAACCCCATGCTCAAGGTACTAAGCCCAACTGTCACACTATTTCTAATCCAAATGTTTTTCCTCTAAGTTATTCTTCCTCCCCCGAAAGACAGTTTGGACTCCTCAGAGCCACCTTGCCCCTCAACCTTGGAAGATCCCTGGGAAAGTAAGAAGACTGGCATATAGTCTCGAAATTCCTCAATGCCCCCATATGTTATGAAAGAAGGAGGCAGAATCCCAGGTATCAGCCACTGTTTTACGAGGAAATCAAGGATCTGTGTAGGGCAGCTAAAGACCATAGGAAGGACTTACCTGGTTTTAATGGCCTAATGAGGGCCATTACGTGTCTTAAGCCCCTATGATTTAAAATGTATTATGACCATGTTGTTATCACCTAGAGAATACACCCTGTGGGAAGGGGGATGGAAGTGTTTACTAAATCAACTAATAGCAGACTATGCTAATAATGAGGCAAGGGCGGAATTGACAATCAGCCATCTAGCTCGAGAAGAACAACACAGCCTACCAGATGATGAAGCAGCAGGTATCCCAAGAGAAGAATTGGATGATATAAAAGAGGTGGCTTTGAAAGCTTTAATCCAGGTATCGGATGGTAGCACCCCCAGTGTGGACTACCTTGGGTGGCTGCAGCTAAAGCTTTAGGACAATCAGACCATCTTGGGTGCCTGTTAAGTAAGCAAACCAATGCTACCTCCCTCACATTGAGTGGCCTGCTCTCCGACATAGAGACCACCAGACATGCCACCTTGCAGAACAGCAATAGAGTTTTTACTCTGGGCACATGGGCATGGCTGTGTAGACTCTGAGGGCATGTGTTGCATGAACCTCTCTAGCCACAGTGAGTCAATCCACAAGAGCATTCAGGTACTGAAGGAAGGGTTCAAGAAGCTTCAAGTGGAAAACAAAGACTGGGTCAATAAACTCTTCCAATCCAAGGGACTAAAGGGTTGGATGATGTCGAGCTAAAACAGGACTATTTGTTCTCTTAGTGATTGTTGTATTGTTAATTGCCCCATGTTTGTTTGAATGCTTTTAGAAAGTCTTACAAAATTCTTTCAGTTCCATCTTTGTTGTAAAGCAGAACAGAGAAAGATACCCAACACAGGCTCATCATGGACTCCATGGAGGAGGGAACTGGAGGCCAGGATGGCACAAAAACCTCTCGGAGACTCAGTGTGGGAAGGAAAATCCTTAAAAGTACCTTAAAGTATTCTTAAATCCAAAAAGTATCTTAAAAACCTTGAGTATCTCAAAACAATAATGAGTTCCACTGAGTGTCGATACAGAGATTAATAAAGTAGGTAACTGGGGCCATGATTGCAGAAACCTCTCACAGAGTCTGGATCAAAAGAGAAACACCAAGTACCTTAAAATAACTGAAGTATCCTGAAGCATTAATGAGCCCCACTGAGTGTTGTTACTGACAAAGGCTCTCCAGGGACTCATTACAGCAGGTAATTAGAGGCCATGATTGCACAAACCTCTCAGAGACTCCAAGGCAAAAACAAAACCCAAAGTCCTTTGAAAAAGCTACAGAGAGGCTGTCGGCACAGAAGCAGCTCCTGGCAAGGGCAGCGCTGCAGAGAGACAGCTCTGCACAGGAGCAGCTCCTGTGCACAGCCCAGCAGGGCTGGCCTGCAGCCACCCCGGGCACAGCACAGAGGCACAGAGGGGTTAAACTCAGCCTGGGCTGGGAGCACCGAGCAGAGCTCACTCAGTGCTCTCTAGAGCAGAAATCAGCCCAGGTTTGAAACAGTCATTCCCTGGCTGTAAGAAGAGAAGCTGCCGTTCCTGCAGGGATCTCCTGGAGCCGGCACATCCCACAGCTTTTAGGACCTTTCAGGAGGACTCTCAGAGCTGCTCCAAGGCAGGGCTGTGGCCTTGGGGCAGGACTGGCTTTCCCTGCTGCCCCAGCCCAGGCACAGCCCAAGGCAGTTCCTGTTGCTAGGCTCTGCTGCAGGGCTGAGCAGCCGGGGCTGCAGCCAGGGGTTCCCAGGGCTGTCCTGCAGAGCAGGGTCCTGCAGCCCAGAGCGCTGTGCTGGGGCAGGGACTCTGCTGCCTGCCAGGGACAGCTCTCAGCCGGCCCGGGGAGCTGCTCCCAGCACTGGGGATAAGCTGTGGGGGGAAGGAGCCACCCTGAGCAGGGCAGAGGCTGCTGCTGAGAGGGGCTGCGTGGGGCAGGGCTGCTCCCAGCTCCAGACCAGCCTGAGCACAGCTCCAGAGGACCCTTCCCAAAGAAGGTAAGCCTGGGATTGCTGTAAAGATCAGGAGCTTTCCTGAGAGTGTTTTCAATTTCCTATTTGGAGAAAGATGGGTACATTGGGGTGATGGCAAAAAGATTTTTGCATTTTATACATTTTTGATATATTCATAGCGGTGTAAATTACTGTTATATAGTTATAAATTTACAGTCCTTACTTAACACTACTAAATTCTTAATTAACTATATTAAACTACTATTATATACTTATATAATTACAATCCTTAATTAACTACGGTACGTTTCCTAACCTTGCTCTTAGATTTTAGAAAAATAAGCTTACTGTCTAAATACATTCCTGAAATACTGTCTTATCAGTATTATTATCAAAAAGTCTTATTATCAGGAAGAGAACCTACAAAAACATTTTTTTAATTGACCAGAATGTGAGCAGTCATAACAAAAAGGGAAGGCAAAGAAGCCTTTGGACCTACTCCAATGGATTGAAGCAGGGGTGTGTAACTGCGGCAACTGAATCTCCTATTGGCTGTTCCTGTTAAATATCTTAATTAAACAACCTTAATAAATTGTTGAAATCAGGGCCCGGGTGTGCCCCATCCCCACTGGGACACCTGGAAGTTTCCAGTTATTGTCTGGTTTTTCCTTTACTGTTCTAACACTGTTGCAAGGGGCTTTTTCTCTTTTGATTATAAACAACAGGGGAATCAAAGAAGCAGAACAGGAATTGTAATCCCAGAATCATAGAACATTCTGAATTGAAAGGGACACAGAGGATCACAAAAGGAATGGGTGAACATTTACAGAGACTCCAGAACTGTAACTTAAGTTGGTCAGTCTCTCTGCTGGGAGCCTCCCAAAGGGCCCTCAGCCACTCCTCAGCCCTGGACAGCAGCAGCATCACCTCTGCAGGGCCCAGCAGGGCTCTCCTGAGCTGCCCTTGCCCAGCTGCACACAGAGCCTCCCCCAGCCAGGGCCCTGCACACAGGCAGGTTTCTGTAGGGCCCCGGACAGGGCACACAGGCTGGGATGGGCTCTGTGAGCACTGGCAGGGACAAGGCTCCTCTCAGGAGGGAATGTCCAGGCTCAGGGAAATGCTCAGGGAAGGAGAGGGGGCTGAAGAGAGCAGTGCTGGGGGCAGGGGGCACTGTTGGTTTGTGGGAGGTGCCAGGCACAGCTGGGCACGGGAACACTGTCCTGAGCGCCCGGCTGTCTGTGCCCTGCCCTCTCAGGCACAGCACCACAACATCTTCTCTTGGTTCTGCCCAGCCCTGATATTGTCACTGTTATCTGCTGCTCTCAGGGAGGCTCTGGCATTTGCAGCAGCTGAGTCAGGTACTGCCCTTGGCATTCCTGCCAGGCAGGGGTGTCCATGGGAATGGGGTGTCCAAGCTTCTTTGGCACCTGTGGGGCTGTGGGCAAAGCAGTCCATGGGAAAGGGGAATGAGCTGAGCCCCCTCCCTGAGATCCCATCATGGGCACAGCCAGGGATCTCCTTACTGTGCCCTTCCAAGCTCTGAGCGGCCCTCCTGGGTGCAAATCTGTGCCAGAGCCTCTGGGAGTTCCCTGAATGTCCCACGGGGAAGGGCAGAGCTGCCAGAGCTGAGGAAATGCTGTTGGGTTTGCCCAGGGAGCCATGAGTGTCCTTGGCACAACGGGGTGCTGAGACCTTGCCCAGAGACCTTTAGAGAGGGTGAGAAATTCAGGGATCCCTCTGCTCTGAGCAGGGTCTGGTTTGTCCTTGTCCCAGGGTGACCCGGGGGTGTGATTGTGCTCTGATTGCAGCCTAAGGTGCAAAGCTAGGGCAGTTGGGAACAAGCCCATCCAGGCCCTCATCTTCCCTCAGCCTCAGGGAATCCTTTGCCTCTCTCATCTCTCAGTGGCAAACTCTGAGTGCAGCAGGAATGCTGGGGATTTCTGACCTCAGAGAGCCAGGAATGATATGTGGCCAGAAAAAATTCCTTAAACCAGCTCCTGCCATCTATGTCCTATAGAACTAGGAGTGCAGATGCTACCAAGCCTGCCTGTGTTAGGAGTGATTCCCTTTAAAACTCCTGAATATCCAGCCTTGTCCCTCTGCCCCATGGTCACAGACCCAGAGCAGCAGGGCAGGGATGGCTCCTCAAGAGCCCCCACGCACAGGTTTGGCTGCTCCTGGCAAACTCAGCCTGCACAACTGGAGCTCAGGGACCTGGGTGAAGGTTTTCCCAGAGCAGGAACAAGGGTGGGTGAGTCCCAGTGCGACAGTCTGCAGGGAATGGCCCAGGTTTGGCTCAAATCAGCCCCTCCTGACTTGTCACTGTCCTTTATCCATGAACAGATCCCCAAGTCCAGCTCCAGCAAATGTGCAACAGCAGCTCCATCAGCCACTTCCTCCTGCTGGCATTGGCAGACACGCGGCAGCTGCAGCTCCTGCACTTCTGCCTCTTGCTAAGCATCTCCATGGCTGCCCTCCTGGGCAACGGCCTCATCATCAGCGCTGTAGCCTGCGGCCACCACCTGCACACACCCATGTTCTTCTTCCTGCTCAACCTGGCCCTCACTGACCTGGGCGTCATCTGCAGCACTGTCCCCAAAGCCATGCACAATTCCCTCTGGGACACCAGGAACATCTCCTACACAGGATGTGCTGCTCAGCTCTTTTTCTTTATGTTCTTCATCTCAGCAGAGCTTTCCATCCTGACCGTCATGTGCTACGACCGCTATGTGTCCATCTGCAAACCCCTGCACTACGGGACCCTCCTATGCAGCAGAGCTTGTGCCCACATGGCAGCAGCTGCCTGGGCCAGTGCCTTTCTCAATGCTCTTCTGCACACAGCCAATACATTTTCCCTGCCCCTGTGCCAGGGCAATGCCCTGGGCCAGTTCTTCTGTGAAATCCCACAGATCCTCAAGCTCTCCTGCTCCAAATCCTACCTCAGAGAATTTGGGCTTCTTGTAGTTAGTACCTGTTTAGCATTTGGTTGTTTTGTATTCATTGTTTTCTCCTATGTGCAGATCTTCAGGGCCTTGCTGAGGATCCCTTCTAAGCAGGGTCGGCACAAAGCCTTTTCCACCTGCCTCCCTCACCTGGCCGTGGTCTCTCTGTTCCTCAGCACTATCATATTTGCTCATCTGAAGCCCCCGTCCATGTCCTCCCCATCCCTGGATCTGGCCCTGTCAGTTCTGTACTCGGTGGTGCCTCCAGCCCTGAACCCCCTCATCTACAGCCTGAGGAACCAGGACCTCAAGGCTGCAGTGTGGAGACTGATGACTGGAGGGTTTCGAAAGTATTAAACTGCTTGCCAATTTCTGGAAATCACTTGTAATAAAAGTCATCTTTGATACTTCTTGTTGGATTGATTATGAGCTTTTTCCCATTTGTTTTAGCTTTTCCATATTGTTCACCAAGAAATGTCATTCTGGGTGCCATTTCTCATTTTGCTTCTCTCTACATTCCCTGGGTCCACAGATTCTTTCAATGAGGGGCTGTACTCTCAGTGGCTTTAAAGGAACTAAATGATCTCCCAGCAGAGTTTTTTGCAGAGATGCCCTTTTGTTGCCTTCTCTGGAGCTGCAGCAGCAATGTCTGTCTGCAGAGCTGGGGACAGATCAGTGCTGGCACAGCAGCTGTGCCCACAGCAGCAGCAGCACTTGGTGTGGCCAGTGCTGCTGCCGTGGCCCTGCCCCGCTGCCCTGGTGGCCCTGGTGTTGCTGTAGGGCCTGAGTGCTCTCAGGGCCGGGCACAGCCCTGGGGGTGGCAGTGCCGGGGCTGCAACAGGGACAGGCCATGGGCACTGCTGAGGCAGCACTGATGCCTCAGCCCAGGGCCTGGGGGCTCCAGGCTCCTTGGCCAGGCTCTCTCAAGAACATGGACAGACCAATGCTCAGCACAGAAAAGCCCCGTGAGCAGCCCCAGGCTGGCTGTGGGCAGGCTTGGGGCAAACAGCATGGCTGGTGCTCTGCAAGGGCCCTGGGGGAGATGGGAAGGAGCAGCAGAGCAGGGGCTGATCCATCCCCAGTGTGCTGCACAGTCCAGGGCAGCGTCCCAGAGCATCCTCATGGAGCTGGCAACAACATCCCCCCTCTGCAGCCCTGGCCTCTCCCCCAGCTCACACAGGTGCCCCATCCTTGCAGGCACAGACACTGCAGTACTGACTCAGCAGCCCCTGTTTGCATTGCACACAGCAGGGGGAGCACCCTCATGCTGTTGGTGTGGGGACATGAACCTGAGGGAGCACAAAAGCAATCAGCCCCTGGGGCCAGCAAGGGCTGGGGGACACCAGGGAAACCTCGCAGCTTTGTCCTGGCCTCTGCAGTCAGCCAGAAAGTTTGTTCCCATCAGCTGGGAGTTTCCTGTCCCACTGCAGATGCTCTTGCTCAGAGCCAGGGCTGCCGTGGCCTGGCAGCCACCCCAAACTGCCCTGAGCATCTCCTTTTCTTCACCTTTGCTTTCTTTACTCTTCCTGCTACAAATATCTTCCTATTGGCCACCCCTGTTCCCTCCCCTGCAAACAGCCCCTCTCTGTTTGCCCTTTCCTCTCTGGCCCCACTCCCCATTGCAGTTCCTGACTTGGCACGATGGGAACATCCCTTGGGCAGCAGGATCATTCTACAAGTGCTGCAGGAATTGTCTGCAGGCTCCTGCAGTGCCTGGTGCTGCTCCCTTGCCAGAGGCACCCCAGGCCGGGAGGGCACATCTGGGCTGCTGTGTCTGGCTCTGAGGCTCCCTGTTCTGGACAATGAGGAGGAGCTGCAGAGGCTCTGCAGGACTGACAGGATGGGCTTTGGGCCTGGCAGGAGAAGCTGAGGAACATGGGCTGCTGGAGCTTCTCAAGAGGAGGCCCAGAGCTCATCCTGCAACTGCTCCAAGGGTGGTTTCAGAGAATCCCAAAATCAGCAAGGTTGGAATGGACCTTGGAGATCATCAAGTCCAACCTGTGCCCTGACACTGCCTTGTCTCCCCTGATCCTCCTCTTCTCCAGGATAAACAGCCCCAGCTCGCTCAGCCACTCCTCACAGGACTCATGCTCCAGACCCCTCCCCAGCCTTGTTGCCCTTCTCTGGACATGCTCCAGCCCCACCATGTTCTTCCTAAATTGGGGGCCCAGAACTGCAAACAGCACTCGAGGTGCTGCCCAAGCAGTGGTGAGCACAGGGGAAGAATCCCTGCCCTGCTCCTGCTGGCCAAACAATTCCTGAGCCATGCCAGGAGCCATTGGCCTTCTTGCCCACCTGGGCACACTGCTGGCTCATGTCCAGCCTGCTGTCCATCACTCCTTGCAGGTCCCTTTCTGCCTGGCTGCTCTCCAGCCACTCTGTCCCCAGCCTGTAGTGCTGTAGGGGTTGTTGTGGCCAAAGTGCAGGACCCAGCACTTGGACTTGTTAAACCTCATCTTGTTGGATTTGGTCCCTGGATCCAGCTTTTCCAGGGCCCTGTGCAGAGCCCTCCAACCCTCCAGCAGATCTATACTCCCAGACAATTTGGTGTCACCACGGTTCCATGAGGCCTCTCAGTGTCACAGTGTCCCTTTGGTTCCATGGGACCCTTGATGTCACAAAGTCCCTTGGATCATTGGGCCCCTGCAGTGTCACAATGTCTCTTGGTCCCCCAAGGCCCTGCATTGTTACATAGGATCCTTGGTTCCATGACATCTGGCAGTGTAGCAATGTCAATGTGATATTTTCTGAAAATTCCCTTCGCCAGGATTTCTTCTCCTGGGAAGTTGAGAAGCCTCAGCTTCTTTGTGCTTTGCTTCTCTGCAATGTGGTCTGGAGATTGTTTATCCAAACATGTGAATTGTTTTAACTTAATGACCAATCACCATCAGCTGTATTGGACTCTGAGGAGGCAGTAGTGAGTTTTCATTATCATTCTTGTTAAGCCTTCTGTCTGTATTCTTCTTTTTCTAAAGTATAGTTTTTGAAAAGGATAATGTAATGTAATGTAATGTAATGTAATGTAATGTAATATAATATAATATAATATATAATAGAATAGAATATAATATAATATAATATAATATAAACCAGCTTTCTGAGAACATGCAGTCAGATACTTATCTCTCACCTCGTCCTGAGCACCTCACAAACACCACACAGCAATGCTCTTTTTGGTTCCACAGTGTCATAATGGCCCCTTGGCTCTGTGCTGCCATGTCGTACACAGTGTCATCATGGTCCACTTAGTGCCACCAGGCCCCGCAGTGTCACAATGGCCTCTTGCTTACCCAGGGCCCTGCAGTATCACAATCATCAGAGAATCAACCAGGCTGGAAAAGACCTTGGAGAGCGTCAAGTCCAACCTGGGACCCAACACTACCTTGTCAGCCAGACCATGGCGGTGAGCGCCACATCCAGTCTATCCTTAAACACTTCCAGGGTTGGTGACTCACCCATCTCCCTGGGCAGCCTGTGACCTAACACTGTGCTGCCTAACCAATGCCAAGAAGAGAGGGAAGATCACTGTCCTGGTCCTCCCGGCCACACCGTTCCTGATCCATAGGAGTGCCAGGGGTTGGATAAGGGAAATGGTGGGGAGACGGTGAGGGCAAAGTGTTATTGATTGTAAGCCATGAAGAATCTTGATTTTCATATTTATTCAGACTGCACTAGAAGGTGCTAGAGATCAATACCGACTGGACATAGCTGATACCAATTTATATTCAGGAAATGAACACTAAACAGGAAAAAAACAGTTCTTTCTGCATTTTTTTCAACATAGTATAGTATTCACTTTGAATACACTTCTGAAATCTATCTAATTAATCACAGAAGAATTGAAAACTTAAATTGTTTCCAGGGGCTTTTCTTTTGCAAGAGTTTTGCATAAATATTTATGAGCCTTTGTCAATAAATTCCATAACTGAAGAGCTCAAGAAAGAAGAGGCCTCTAGAGGAGTAAAATTCCTTAGCAAACTCCAAGTGGCTGAGGGTCCATCCCCATCAGAGCAGCAATGAACAGAAATGGGCACAGCTTTGTGGCTGCCCCAGCTTTGGCATGGGGCCTGGGCCTGGAGCAGGAGCAGCTCTTGAGGGCCCCAAGGCTGCGGCTCTTGTGCTGCCCTGGGCAGATGGGATGGCAGCAGGGGCTGCGCAACTCTCAGCACCTCAGCCACAGGGGAGCAGGGCAGCCAGGGAGCCTCCTTTGGCCTTGGCCAAGCAACTTCCTCCATGGCTGGGGCTGAGTCCTGTGGCAGCTTCAGCTGCTGCTGTGCCCTTGCCAGGGGCTGAGGCCGTGGGGCAGTGCCCAGAGCAGCCTGGCCTGAGCAGAGCTGTGGGGCCAGAGCCGGCTGGGCTGGGCTGGGGAGAGGCCCTTGGTGCTGCCCAGAGCTCAGGGCAGCTGGCAGAGCTTGCAGGGAGCTGGGCTGGGCTCCGAGAGCCTGGCCCAGAAACCATCAGTGTCCATCTCAGCCTGGCTGAGCGTGCAGGGGAAGGACTCAGGCCAGGCCTTGTGGGGCAGGGCCAGCGCCTGTGCAAGGCATTGCAAACAGGCAATTTGCCCAGAGGGGAGGCTGCTCTGTGCCCTTGGTGGCATGGACAGAGCAGGGAGGGGGCCCAGGACATTTGTCACCGCCAGCCTCTGTGCCCAGCCCTTGGCAGCCCTGGCTGCTGAGCTCAGCTTTGGCCTGGGCTGAGTTTGGCTGTGGCCCAGCTCCATCCTCCTGCGGGGCTCAGGGCCTGTTCTCAGTCATGGACAGCCCTGGCAGCCTCTCTGCCGGCCCAGAGGCCGGCAGAGCCTGGGGCAGGGCTCTCTGTGCAGCCCCACAGGTGCCAGGGGCTCTGCAGGAGCTGGCAGAGGCTGCCCAGCAGGGATGCCATGGGGCGCAGAGCCCCAAGGCTGCTGTGGGCACCACGGCACAGGGGCCGTTCCCAGCCACAGTGCTCCTGGCCTGGGCTGGGCCTGCACAGAGGCTGGACCACCATGGCTGGGCCAGCACAGGGCCACAAAGGGGCCACGCAGACGCTGCTGGGGCTGATAGCAAGGCCAGGCACACACAAGCAATTGCTCAGCATGGCCTCCACTGACCAGGCCTGACTGTGCCAAAGGCAGAGCTCAGCTGCCCTTGGGGGCTGCAGGAACAGTCCAGAGCCCAAAGAGCCTCCATGGCTGTGCTGGAGACCAAGGCTGCAGCAGGGAAATGCAGGGTGCTGCGGGATGGGGAGGGCATTGAATTCCAGCACACACCTCAGCTCTCTGATGATCCCGGCACCATGCTGGGCCCTGTTTCAGACTGCAGCAGAGCAGATGTTGATGGGACAGGAGTCCTGTGAGACTGTCAGGATGGATGGGACAG